TGCTAGTTCGACTTTCCTCAAGACTATTTTTAAAACTAGCAAGATACACTTGTTTGCATACCAATTTAGTTTAGAAATACGCCAAACGAGAGATCTAGCTGGGTTTTGGTTGAGTACTGATGCAAAACCAACTTTCTAAGTAAATGAGCTTATTCTGGGGTTTTGTGGGTTAGGTATTTTGTTCATAGTCACACCACTCTCGTTTGAACGGTCGTGTTCCTGTTCTGGCGTAATTATTCCGGTGAGTCTACACCAAAGGGAAGCACTGGACTCGAGTTTCGCTCTTATTAGAGCTCATCAGCAGTGCACGCCAATGGGCGTGCCGGGATTGGAACCCCGGACATCTGACATGCGAGGCGAGCGTGCAACCACTACCCCACCAAAGCACGTTGAACGCATCTGAGTTTTCACGCCTGAACAGACGAACGTGTTCATACTTGACCGATGCGATTGGTGTGCCCGACTGACCGAACGACGACCCAGTAACTGTCTCGGTTCTGACAATCGATTGATCCGCCAGTCAGGACTTCCCAGCCAGGTAGCGTGACAAACGCTTGAAACCCACTGGTCAACATTTTGATTGCAGTTTTGGGGTTTTGTGGGATAGGTATTTTGTTCAAATCCCGACACGGCCATTGGATATGCACTGCTGATTAGCTCTAATCAGAGCGAAACTCGAGTCCATTGTTCGCTTTGGTGAACATAAATGAGTCTAGTTCGCTGATTTCGCGCTGACGGAAACTTGAGAAATGCGCCAAACTGATGGGCCTTTAGAGGAACAAAAGCGGTCATGATTTTTGGAGAATGTCAGCAAACTTTAGAGTAGTGTAGTACGTTTATATCGGTAAATATCTTTGCCCATTTTATCCTCGCACCAGATAAAGAAAATTCTCAGACGTTGAGCACCAAGTATTTGCAGCTTTGCGTCATAGCATAATGAGACAGCTTCGTGTTTCCACTAAACTCTGCAGCCAACGTTCTACCTCGGATGCAACATCGGGTTACGCGTGTCTGTGTGGTTGTCTAAACTTTCCAGAACCTAATTGTGTTCATTCTATGTGGACGAACTAAACGGTGTTGTCGTTAGACACCGTTATCTATCAAAAATAATGCAGATGTTGTTTCCGCCACTATTATGTGCCTATTCTATAACGGTTTGCCCTCTGATTCTTACCTAGCTTACGAGAAAATAAACGAAACATACCTTTCTCGACTGACGTCTACTGTCTGTGAGATTTGGCTGTTTCCCAGACTCAATCAAACAAAATGCTTGATACAAATCTTGAATTAGTCATATGTTTGGAACTCAAAATTGATTGACATGCATGAGCACACCGTAGTGTTCAGCGATCCGCGTTTTGGCAACTGTCTTGAAAAAATTTCATCTAATTTTCTACCTCACCTCGTAAACTTGTTAAAGCAATCAAATCAATCAAGACGTCTAGAGACAGACTTGGAGAAAAGGTGAACAGAATATCAGAATGATTGACCAGTTTATGGAAACGTTCGTTTCAATTCAACGACTGTCTTGACAGGATGTGCTTCAATTGGTTACAGTAAAACTGGTGTGTTAAAGATGTAGGAAACAGAGTTTTCTAACCAGTTTGGAGTGAGCATTTCATCGAACAAAAGCCCACCGATTAGATATATTGATGAACGATGCAACTGTTGTTTAAAGGCATTATTTATTTGACGTTATTGTAAAAGCCATATGAAAAATATTCACGATACAGGGCCTGTTATCTTGCATGACAAAGCTCTCTAACAACACGATGGCTTCGTGGCGAGTGATTCGTCTCTAATTCTGTCAAAGTTTCGATAGTATCAATTAAATCAACGATCGTATAATAATAAGAAACACTATATAAACATTGTTGGTAGTGTGAGGAGATTTGGGATTTTTGTGGAGATTATGTCCTGTAAGTGAAGCCAATCGATGCTGAAAAGCCGAGAAGCACTGTACAGCTGTTTCATCCTTATTGGGAATCATCAGCAGTGCGCATCTGACGAAACTCCGAAGAGTCTCGAACCCGCGACCTCCCGGCTAGTAGTTTGAACTCCTAATAAAATCCATTACAGCGACTCGGTTGGCCAGTTTTACAGTAGCCAACTTACTATTCCACGACATTACTAGTTCACATGCAAGTCAAACTGTAGAGATTTCGTCCTGTAAGGGAAGCCAATCTATTCTTCTCGGCTTTTCAGCATAGATGGGCTTCACTTACAGGATGAAATCTCCAAAAAATCCCTAATCTCCTCACGCTACCAACAATATATACGTAGCTCAGTGGAAGAATAAACTTCACCTCATCCTTCATTCACGGGACCCTCTATCTGAGAAGTCGTTGCTCGAGGAGCAAGTCAACACGTGTGAGCGCGTGATGTGGATGGATGAACGAAATCTCCACAAAAATCCCAAATTTCCTCACATTATCAACAATTCTCTAATATTTTATCTGGGTTTTTGCCTGACCCCTGGAAATACTTATGGTTATGCTGAAAATGCTGTTTAGGTTGCGTTAGGACAAGCCTGTTTATTTGATCGAATTTCACAGTGGCTGAGTATGGTCCGATATAGCATTCCACATGTTACTCATGGGACCAGGTTCAGGAACTCAAGACTACGGAAATTTTTGGATCACTAGACTCACCGGTTTGTCAATGCTCCGTCCCAGTCGGATTGGATAATAAAGTCCTAAACTTGACTCGCCATAAATGAAGACACTAACTCTAGGAAGCCACGATTCAGCTTCGAATCAGGCATGAATAATTTGAGGTTTGGGATACGTGAGTTGATTATGATTGAGTATTGAACCGGGGATTTTACTTCAAGAGGACTTTAAAGCCATCCGCTCTGTAGTGTAGCTGTAATTTACACAGTCAGAGAGATCTTATTCAAGCGTAACGAATGTCTTCAAACAGCTAGTGCTCCGCATATTGCTGGTGAAAGGAAGAAGGCCTTCGCTGTGGAGTTATTTATTGGGAAATGCCAACTGGCCGGTTACAGACCATTGAACAGGGAAGCAAAATTCTAATTTGCATCTTATTTACAAAAACTGGACATCTTTCTTCTCCTGAACATGTCTTCTTGAACTTTCCTGAAGATTCAATGACTCCAATCATTCCTCGCAAATTGAATCCACGAATTCCGCAACAGATTCCCCCTTTCCAAAGAACGCAAAGCGGAATTCCAAGAACAATACATACTACTCGCGTGCCTCCCCATCAGTAGTATCACCGTTACACTGGTATTGAAAGGAGCGCAGCCTTGACATCGAAATGATTCCTAGTCCGATGAGGAAGTCCTTTTTTGGGCGTAATGACCGTTAGTACTGAAAGGAACGCAGCCTTGACATGGAAATGATGAGGAAGTCCTTTTTTGGGCGTAATGACAAAGTTCACATGCAGTACACTAATGTTATATCTGTAACCCTATAAAAATTATTCTGGCTCAGATGAGTACACCCGACGAATACCAGTGCCATCAGCTTGAGATGACACACTAAACTGTAAGTGGGTCACGCAGAAACGATCATTTACCTACATTTTCCGTATTTCTGCAACATCCTAGTTTGAAGCAGACTTTGCATACAACGGTCTAAAGCATAGCTGGACGTTTTAATTTCAAATTAATGCACTCTCTAAGTATCAAAATAAAATTCTTGTTCACAATTATTCTATGCACTCCGTTGTCAAAATCTCGGCCAAAGTAACTTGAGAGAATGTCTCCCGAATATTATTTAAGCTAGGCAGGGTGTTTCCGGCAAATTTAATTTGCAGTTTGGGGGCTTATCGTTCCTCAACGGTGGAATAGTAGGTTATAATGTAATTACGCGATAATCTTATTTACTCTTGTACGTAGGTAACTCATTGCGAATTTTTGAAAGACAGTTTTTACTGATTATTCCTTCGTCTCTTTTTGTTACCACAATAATGTAGTTCATCTTTCCCGTCACACCGACCCCGATTTTTGCATTTTTGTTTGTCTTTGGTTGGTGACCTCGTTGTTGGTAGTTTGGTATGGTATCACCTGCAAATTGCACAGAGTGTTTTTATGTTTTAACGGGACTTTAAGCCATCTCGAACGTCTCCTTTCGCGAGTTTCGCTAGTTTAAAACTGTTTCCAACCACGTCTGACATTGGAATAAGTCAACAACTCTTTGGGCGTGTTAGATGGGTTGAAAGTGCCAAAATGAAATGCCACTTTATGTGAGCGCTGGGAGTTTAAATAATCAGGTAGATAAATGTTTTAGAGTTTTGTTCAAAACCATTATCTGGACAATAGACAGACTGAGATATGGTTTTCATTAAGAAGCTTCACGATGCATGCGGTAAAATTCACTCTCAGTACGTCAGCACCAGCTATGGAGACCGTAATAATGGATAACCATGTATATTGATAGGGATGTCGACAAGGGACAGAATGCAAGGTAGCGTCCATAGAACCAGTCAAATTTAGAGTAGTGTTAAACACTTTCCCGGGGATTCAAATCGATGTAACGTTGCCTTATTTATCGAAACGTGTACCTTAGGCCGCGAGAGATAAAAAAATTTGCGCACCAAGTTGAATATCACAGGAAACACCTCTGCATCCCGGCTGAATTTCTCTTCTGTGGTGTTTTTTCAGTCGGATCTGTTGGGTATACAACCAGCAGCGGTAGAGTTTCAAGATGAAAGCTACTCAAAGGATTCCTGAAAACTCTTTGAGAGCCCACGATCGGTTTTGCAATTCTTGGAGCTCATTGGCACGCAAAGGTTCACCAAGAATCAAGGTTCGCCCTTACCTGCTCAACACAAAGGAGGATTCCTGAAACTCTTTGAGAGCCCACGATCGGTTTTGCAATTCTTGGAGCTCATTGGTACGCAAAGGTTCACCAAGAATCAAGGTCCGCCCTTACCTGCTCAACACAAAGGAGGGCAAAGCATAGTGTGCGCTGTTAAACAGTTCTAAGTACATTTTCATTGAGGAGAAGACTCACAAGTTTGCTGAAAACTCCTCGCCCATGTTAAGGCTCATCAGGCAAGCGCCGTCAACCCGTCAACTTTATGTTCTACTTGAACCCAAATTGGTCTGTTTGATAAATATACAGTCATTTCCGCGGGATACTTGAGTAATTCACTAGTTTAAAATGCTATTAAACCGAATGCGCTGCACACAAGCCGCCTCATGTTTCAGTTGGCACGATATCTGAGATATCGCAGTATATGTTCACAAGGAAAACTACTCACGAGGTTCATGCACAACTCAAGGTTGACAAAAACTCAAGGAACTAGCCTAGCTTGTGAGCCCCAAGAAGGACGAAACCGCTCATGGGCTATTGAAGAGTTTTCAGCAACCTTGTGAGTAGTTTCCTTTATAAGAGTGGAAACGTTTTGACTGCTTTGCATCGCATACCTTTATTTCAGCTTGACCACAAACGCGTTTTGCGGTTTATCATCAGTGCTAACATTAGTATATTTACGACTGGTAATGGTTACCCCCCGCTTCGGTTACATAAGGTATATCTTATATTGTCCTCTTATTCTTAACTGGAAGAAAGATATTAGTTACTCACTAAACGGTAGACATGGCTGGTTTCTGTGAGGGTCACACCTGAGCTACCGTTGATCCCTAAACCTCGCCGGCTTGGCTATTTTTCGCACAGAATCTATCTGATCAACTCATTATACGTGGCGCTGTAGGCACTATAAGTAGTGGAAAGTCAAAGAGAATTGGATAACCGCGGAGGAACATCTAGCATTAGATTTCTGCAACTCAATGGACTAACAACCTTGATGGCAGACGAAACCGGCTCTTCTGGTGGGGCGGAAAATGAAAATTGTCTAATAAATTGTTCCGAAACAGCTTGTCTCGTTGTTATAGTGAGTGCTAGTGACTCATACAACACAGCTAGTTTATGTGATTAGGTGAACTGCTCTGCAGAAAATAAATCTCCGTTCAGGTAGGTCAACGTTCTTGGCACTCCTGGTCCGAAAAAGGTAGCTAGCTGGGAGAAAACGGACACAAAACCTAAGTACAACTGGGCGGTGGTATTCAACCGGAGAAAGCGAAGGCTGTCCACCACGCAGAACACATCATGTGGAAAACAACTGATCTCGTTTCATCACATGAATCCACGTATGCATGAATACATCCCAGCTTGCATGGGCATGCTTTTGCTTGGGTGCGGAAAATAAACCTTAGTAGCTTGCGCGACCCTGAAAATTGTAGGCGTATTTTCAGTTACTGTGCAATGTACACTTTAATTTCTAACGGAAATGTTTCCATTGCATTAGCTGTAATCTGAAAATTCACCCCCAATAGTCGAGCGTCTAGTTTTGTGCCAGTTGCTCGAATTCTTTTGTACCTAACTGTGAATGTGAGGCCACATAAGGCAGCTATTCTTATTATGTTAAGTTGGGGATGTGGAGTCTGGTCGTTGGCTTGTTCGCTGAGCTGGGCAATTTGATCGCAAACGTTTCATCACCAATCGAGGTGACATCATCAGTGCGTTATTGGGGAGCGTAGTTGTGCGTGGCGGTGGGTTAGTGGTTGTGCGTTGGGTAGTGTTACGTGTGTGTTACTATACGTGCTGGTAGCCGGGGTTGACCTTAGCATACGGAGACACGCGACACGGAAGAGAATTTCTGGAAGCATGGTACTCCACGGCGGATTTGATCAACCGGTGCATCAGACTGGATCCAATTTACGCACCCCTACGTGCAAAAGACCAACATCTCAACCGGAACACTCAAGGAGTGGATAACCATGTATATTGATAGGGATGTCGACAAGGGACAGAATGAAAGGTAGCGTCCATAGAACCAGTCAAATTTAGAGTAGTGTTAAACACTTTCCCGGGGATTCAAATCGATGTAACGTTGCCTTATTTATCGAAACGTGTACCTTAGGCCGCGAGAGATAAAAAAATTTGCGCACCATGTTGAATATCACAGGAAACACCTCTGCATCCCGGCTGAATTTCTCTTCTGTGGTGTTTTTTCAGTCGGATCTGTTGGGTATACAACCAGCAGCGGTAGAGTTTCAAGATGAAAGCTACTCACAGGATTCCTGAAAACTCTTTGAGAGCCCACGATCGGTTTTGCAATTCTTGGAGCTCATTGGCACGCAAAGGTTCACCAAGAATCAAGGTCCGCCCTTACCTGCTCAACACAAAGGAGAGCAAAGCATAGTGTGCGCTGTTAAACAGTTCTAAGTACATTTTCATTGAGGAGAAGACTCATAAGTTTGCTGAAAACTCCTCGCCCATGTTAAGGCTCATCAGGTAAGCGCCGTCAACCCGTCAACTTTATGTTCACTTGAACCCAAATTGGTCTGTTTGATAAATATACAGTCATTTCCGCGGGATACTTGAGTAATTCACTAGTTTAAAATGCTATTAAACCGAATGCGCTGCACACAAGCCGCCTCATGTTTCAGTTGGCACGATATCTGAGATATCGCAGTATATGTTCACAAGGAAAACTACTCACGAGGTTCATGTACAACTCAAGGTTGACGAAAACTCAAGGAACTAGCCTAGCTTGTGAGCCCCAAGAAGGACGAAACCGCTCATGGGCTATTGAAGAGTTTTGAGCAACCTTGCTGGTAGTTTCCTTCATGAAAATATTCTGCGATATCTCGAATATTGTACCAACTGAGACATGAGGTGGTCTTTGTACAGCACAGTTGAAGGATATCATAAATGAGGAATTTACTTGGGGTTCTCGAAAGAACCAGATCAATGTGCAAATGAGTGTATCTGTCGAAGTTTTCAGTAAACTTGTGAGCAATCGACCTCAACACGTCCTCTCACATGCGCATCTTAGTTTTCTACCATTAGACTGCCATTATTTGCCACAGTCGGAAAAAACACATTTCGCTGATTTATGCCGCAACGCCCTCGGATGTCTGTGCATTCGAGTGAAAATTTACCGCATGAAAATATACTGCGATATCTCGAATATCGTGTCAACTGAGTCATGGGGAGACCTGTGTGCAGCACATTTAGTTGTAGAATATCATTACCGAGAGATTCAGTTGAGTCTCGTGAAAACCAAAAAGATTTGCAAAGGAGTGTATTTCTCGAAAAACGCCCAATTTGTGTTCAAGTAGAACATAAGGTTGAGGGGGCAAAACCGGTCGTGGGCTGTCGAAGAGTTTTCGGCAACCTTGTGCGTAGTGTAATACTCCGTTGAAATTTGTCCTGGTTTTTGTGCGGTGGGCTTTGGATGTCTAGCCAAAAAAATTATTTTATCTATTTGCCTGTCGACGTTGCGACTCCCTAGAAGGACAAAACTTCTCCTTAGGAGTAAGTAGAGAATACTGAGACACGTTTCTGTGCACATGATATGCGCAAGCAAAATCTCAACCTACCCAGTCCCTATTTCCAAGGACCCCCAGGTTGCACTTTGTACCATTCAACACATGAAAAATTAGTGACCACAAATAATTTGTTACCACTGGTACTAACCGGTAGTGGACACTTGTCCAGCCCGATAAAAATGGGCATATTGAAATTAATGATGACCGACATCGAGCGTGGACCGGCGAGGTGGGTGACGCAACCAGCAGACAGTCAAAACCAGTTTGATTACCGCAGAAGCAGACTGCACGATAATGCCCGTAATGCGATTAACGTTACCGCAATGATAAACGGCATTCGTTATCAATACACTTAAACTTAGCCTGAATGCAAAAAGACCAACTGTCGGGTTTGAATAATGTGTGAAACTAACAAGACCGCACGCTTATTCCAATCAGCATTCTGACAATCAAAACGGCTGTGGTGGCTTTTTATAAACTAACGTCATTATCTCTTTTGCATACCGATTTGCAGCTTTTTTTGACAGAATGGGACTCATTCAATACCAGAGGCAGGGACGGTTGATTGGGAAAGCAGAGCTCGGCCAGGATTTCTCAGAGTGGAGAAATGTCCGTGGAACCATCGAGGACAATTAGATTTCAATCTGTGAGAGTGATATTTATTCCATGGGATAAGGAGGCTGGTAAACAGCGTTGATAAGCGACACCGAGTAATTACCGAGGGATTACCGGATATAATTTGCGTTAATGTACTTGGCTCATTTGGAAAATCGGTGGTTTGGAGATAATAACCATAGATTTGTTTGACTGTCCCGGTAGATTGTGGTATTCTGGGCACAGTCTGTTGATGACATTTTGACTGAAAGTGGTCGAAATATCAAACACAGCCCATTTTCACATTTGAAAAGATACAAATTACGAACTTTCTGCAGACTCTAATTCACGTTTAAATCAAACTAAACGATTTCGGACGCAAAAGTTGGATGGCTAACTGGAGGAAAATACCGAAAGCATTTTCTTACATTTGGGAGGTAAATCACACAAAAAGCGGCGAAGTTAATACAGATAAGGTGACAGTATTAGTGCAAAGAAGGCCTTCGCTCCGGAGTTATTTAATGGAGAACACTAACTGAACACCTACAGACTATTGGACAGGGAAGGGAAAATCTCATATGCATCTTGTTTACAAAACTGAATATCCATCTTCTTCTTGAGTGCGTCTTCTTAAACTTTCCTGGATATTCGTTGACCGTTTCTCAACCGCGAGCAAATCCAAACCCACAAACTCCGTAATAGATCTCAATTTTCAAGAGACGCAAATCGGATTTACGAGAAAACATACTACTCACATGCCCCATCAGTAGTATCCACCGTTACACTGCTAGTAGTGTGAATCGATCCAGAATAATCTCACGAACTCGGTTAATAAATTGTAGGCTGTTTCGCTCAGTTAGCAATCCGTTGAACAGTGATGAACCAGGAAACGTTGTAAAGTGGAGCAATTTCTCATAGCATACGTTTAACAGACTACATTCCACGCAACCCCAGGGTATGGTTTCACCAGGTGGAGTCCGTTTTTACTACCCGACGCACCACTTCCCAAGCCACGCGATTTTCCTATGTTGTCCAGCATCTTCCTTTTGATGTAGCAACAGAGGTGGATGATCTGTTGAAAGATATTCCCAAGGAAAATCCTTATGACGCCCTTCTAGTGGCCGTCATAAGTAGGACAGGGAAGTCAGAAAACAAAATGCTACGGGATTTATTCACCACTGTCGAACTCGGGGACAGATCGCCATCACAACTGTTTCGCCGCATGCGGCCATTAGCTAGCGATGGGAATCACGGCCCAACTATGGCTCGACAAACTTCCACCCTCCATGCCCCACGTCATCAGCGCTTTCGTTGATGACCACAGCTTGGAGCAGCTAGCACACATGGCGGACAACATCCACGAAACTTACCACAGTGACCCCGTAAACTCCGTCTCCCACCCTGCACCCATTACTTCTAATTCAGTTTGTGAAACGCTGCGCGGGATCTTGTTCAGACCAACGGCTGGAAAACCATCAAGAAACTGACAATCGTTTTCAAATCAGAGCCTGGAATGTCATTTTTTTAAAAAAGGGCAATCTTGATATTGAGGTCCCTGAGATGCTGTGTATCTGTTAGATTATCTGTCCACAATCAGATGAGGAATGACACAGTTAGAGACTTTGGAGTACCACTGTGAGACTGGTACAAAATTCTGAAAACTCGAGGAAGTCTTCGTTCACCCAAAATACGGTTCTTTACAAAATTAAATGGTTCTATAAATTACAGGGTCAGGCGATATTACTTACAAGTCTGGACTCGGTGATTATAGAGGTACGTCATCCCCTGCTCAAACCATCTACTTTCTTAATGAAAGGAAGAAGGCCTTCGCTGCGGAGCTGTTTATTCGGGAAACACCAACTGGACAGTTACAGACTATTGGATAAAGGAGAGAAACGCTAGTATGCATCTTGTTTACAAAACTGAATATCCATCTTCTCCTTGAACGCGTCACCCTGAACTTTCCTGGATATTCATTTACTGTTACTCGAATGCAAGCAAATGCCACAAAGCGACTCCACAAATTCAGTAATAGATCTCAATTTTCAAGAGAGCCGAAGTGTTTTACGAGAGAACGTACTACTCGCATGCCTCCAATCAGTAGTATAACCGTTACACTAGTAATTCGTTAACATAACAGCTTCAGCAACAAACCAGCGACTAGGTAACAGCAGAGTTTATGTAAAATTCGCTAATTCAAAGCAAACTGTGGGGAAATTATCACAAAGTTACAGAAATTTGAACCCCATAATCAAAAATAGGCCAGGATACTATCACCGGTTGTTGCCAGAAGATACATTCGAAATCAGCCTGGACATGGTCTTCCAGGACATTTAAGCTGTCTCAAAACTTTTGAGGGTCTATTGTGCTTGTTTTTCAATCGGGCGGTTTTTTGGTGACTACCATTGTCGAGGAGGTCTTAGCTTAGGATACCGTCGTTGATATGAACTGACGCATTAACCTGTTTGACACAAATCGTTTGACGATGTTTCTTTCATATAGAGACTTTTCCTGGCCGTCGTTTTTCAGTTTCTCATTGCAATGTTTCCATCGTTCCAGGTTCTCGAAACTGGTCGTTTCTCGATCATATCTATTTGGACAATTCGCTGTAAACAAAATAGATTTTTTTTTCAATTTTGACTGATTCAGTAGTCGGCAATCTCTCTGCCTTGTTCTCTGAATGCGTCAAAAGCCATTGCTCCAAAGAGATTACGAAGCTAAGAACTAGAAAGCGAAATCAACTGTCATCAAAAATACACTACTAATGAATCTTACAACTGATCAACACAGAATCATTTCTCATGGTACACTCGGAAGTAAAACGATTTGGCCTTGCCAACTAGCAGAAGAATCAACGGATGCAGGTAAATCTGGGATCTAAAATAGACAGGTCAGCAGCATTCAATGAAAGAACCACGGGGAGTTTTCTTAGTTCAGTTTGAGAGCGAGGTGCTTTGGCTCCTTTCTCAAAGTTTAAGCTTTAATTGACTTTTGCATAACCCTCACCAAATGGTTCATTGAAAGGGAACATTGCTGATTGTTTAACCCGATTTACGGGACTTTTGAATGTCTCGAGTTACATTTCCCTTCAGAGTTTCCTTTTATCGACTGCATATTTTTATTGTTGATAAACCTATTTACAAGAGTCCGGAGCTAAACGCCACGGATTGCCAGACCGAATTCTTGTCCAAAAAGTTTTACAATAAATTTGTTCTCCGAATTGGAAACCTCAAGAGCAAATGTTAGAACTCAGGCTATAAGGAATAGACTGACGGAACACAGAGATTTTAATTTTTTTCAAATAACTATTGAAACTTGCAGGGAAGCTTAGTGACAGACCCATCTTTGTCAAGCTTACATCAAGACAGCTAACCACTTGGTAACCGAACAACGCCCTACAAACATTGCCACCAGTCTGGTTGCAACACCACTTGACACAGTGTACGTACAAAGATGTTTTTCTTCTTAAACCTGCATATATATAAGATTTCCGCCACTGTCTTCGAGCGCTGAATCGAGAATCACCAGAGTTACTTCGGTGAAGTTTACATCAACCGCGTCCACCACCCTAAGGCTTTGTTTATGGAGACCGGCCGTGTTTACCCAATAGAAAATAATTTTGGGAAACGAAATATGATGCGCTTGTCAGGTGGTCATTTTAGAGGGAGAAACGGACAATAGATGCAACAACATCGCTCATGCGTCAATAACCATTTTACTGTCGTTATTTTCTTTGGTTTTTGGAATGTCTGCCAGTGTCGACAATCTCCTTTTTTCAATTGCGCATCATCCAAACAGCCTGCAGGTTTTTCGTCACCGATGGATTGACTATCATCAATACGTGTTTGTGGTGCATGGTTAGCTGTGTAAACCACTGACAAATTCGTACACAAAATGATGCACAACTAGGTAGTGATGCAATGATTGTATTGTCCTGACTGGTGACGATGATTCGAGGTTTAATGGTCAAGCTAGACGAACAAAGCAAAAGCTGTCAGAATGACAGCAACATTACCCAAAGGTACATGAAACGCAAAAAGAAGTATCAGGTTCGACCAAGCAAGCCTCAGAATTTTTCACAAGTATACGACTGCTANAATTCCCATTTTCCGAAAAGTGGTGCAGTCAAAAGTAATAACTATCGCGTAGGTCGTGATTCCGCTTCAACGGAGAGAAAGCATTTGCAGGTTGGCACAAGTGTATTCTTCTTTACTGCCGTCGATAAAAATTTCTAGACCTCTGTAGAGCAACATTCGCAAATATTACTGAGAAGGGGGATTAGGGAGTGACTCACTATGGGCACCCAAAGAACACAGACATATTTTGAGCTGCCTACAGGACAAAGATGGTACCACTCAGTCATTCAGACAAGCAGTTACAGCCAAAATGAGAAAAAAGTCACCTGTTCTTTGGGGTGGTGTGAATGCTGTTCCTAGCGAGGATTGGAGCCACTTCGGAAAATGCCTATCATGGCTGGAAGGCAGCCAAGTTTGCGGAATTTTCTAGACAAATCAAAAAGTGTACATAATCATCTGGTGAAAGGTGGACCATTCGTGGAAATGAGACCGGTCAATTTGCGTGAAATGCAGATGAAATTCGATCTTAACCGCACCTAAATGGCAGCCATTAATGTCCTCAAAGTCTGTGCTCGCCCACTTTGATCTCGTCATTATGCTCTTACGTCGGGCTTGAGTTTCCCAGATGATCTTTATTCAAACTTACAGATGTACTGAAGTGCATGCGTTTTTTTTTGTCCTCAAAGTGCTCGCCCACTTTGATCTCGTCATTATGCTCTTACGTCGGGCTTGAGTTTCCCAGATGATCTTTATTCAAACTTACAGACAGACTGAAGTGCATGCGTTTTTTTTTGGAATTTTTCAAGTTTCAGTCTGGCTGCATCTCATTTCTGTTTGGACTTTTCAGGGTTACAAATTCTATCTGCAAGCTAATGTAACAGGCGGATAACCAATCACCTGCTTTATCCTTGGTAGTTCGGTTGATGTGTCTGCTGTCATACACTGGGAGAGGGGGCTTTGCAATCCTTGTTGCACTCTGTGTGTGTTGGTTTTTCAAATAGCTTGACTTGGACGTTTCGTAGACGCATTCAGCGTGACCTGGACGGTACTTCAATGAAGTTCCATCAGTGCGGTAGGCAGCTGTCCAGAACGGACGCATCCCTAAATTGTGACGCATTGATGATATCACGTCAACTCAGTGGTCAAGCTCACATAAAGAACCATCATCACCCACGGTGATGACATAATTTCAACCGAGCAAGAACACGAAAACAAGCATTTCAACCCAGCCCAAATACCTGGCTCATCGGATTCGGCCACCGAGTTACGATTGTTGCAGAAAAAGATGTAATTGATTGACAACCGTGTTGTAGCTTTTGACAATGAACCACTTTTTTCCGCAGATAGAACACGTTTGCAGACTGGCTAAACGGGGTCCCGTCGGGATTTGTCCCGCTCCTGAATAGTTGAGCTTCCAAAGTATATTGAAAAAACAATCAACAAAAATCCCAAAATATTTGAATCACTCTAAAAAATTCGTAAAAGTCATGGAATTATGAGACTTTAAAATGATTGCTTTTGAGGGTGCCAAAACCAGGCACATCAATCGGACAAGTGCTTGACTTGTGCAAGACACCGTTGGCACAAACATAGTTACTTTGATGGAAGCTTACTTCCAGAATGCAAGTCACCAGTTATTCAAAGCGATTGGTTCGTGGTTCGCAGCTTCTAGCGACACTTTCCCTGGTTTTCGCAAGCTAAGCTTTTGGATGGACATTTAATTATCTATGGTTAGACTAACAGGAAGCGGATACTATTGTACATAATGAGTACTTAGTATGCAACTAGACTCCACAGTCGAAAAGCACCTTTTTTCATGTTGCCAACTAACATAAGAGGCTTAGATGAAAATACCCTAAAAAATCCAACAAGTGATTGGCTAGGTGTAAAGCTTAAAAGTGTTCTTGGGCTACAACCGTGTTTTTCGAGTCTGTCAGTTAAATCGCGAAATCAGAGTTGCTAAGATAGCCACTGCGGTACAAATGAGAATAACAATTATTCGATGGGAGAGGTCGCTGTGTAATTCACTTTCTTTCAGATCTGAGCAGACCTGACTAAAAAACTAGGTCAGATGTGAACATTTCCTGATACCTCATGCACCTGCTTTCTCAATTTTGAAAATCGGCCAATTCCGTACTCATGATCCCCTTCTTCGTGGGATTCAACCATTCGGTGCACAACTCAGAAAATGTGTTTTCAGTTCGACAACACTCTCATATAAACTGCTATCCAAGGATGC